AAAGAGACTTGAATAGGAAACAAATATCCTCGATCGATTTACCACGGTGGAAAACATAGAAAACGCCCTGTGTGGAGTGTTCCACAGGATTCCAGATATACTACCTTATTTTGCTGTTATCGTGACGGATGCTGCGTATCCTTTTAATGATATATTTAAAAAAATAAAACATGAAAAGCATGAGTGTAACTCAGTTCGACGCTCTCAGTATTATGCCCGTAACTTTTCAAGAAGTTGATATAAATCACGACCTTTCATGAACTTGTAGATTTTGAATGCATGGATATAATCCAGTCTTGAAAATTGAAAATTCATTATCTTCACAGAACACTAATGTTTTCTTTCAAAATCATGATGGCTGACTATTTGCTCCAAAAAACTTCCACTCTATTGCATATGAACCGATGCGGTGATAAAGTCTCTTTTGAAAATCAAATATCTGAATCCAACAGGTGCTTAGGATCTTGAGGCTCTTGAAAAATAGTTGGCCTGATTCTTTTTTGAAATTAGCATTAGAGCGAATGCTCAAATACTTCCAGAAAAAACTAACCGAAACAGATTAGTTATTAAAGAATGGTAGGCGTTAGGCAGCACACTATCGACTTCATATTTCCCGATTCGAACAAGCCGAGTAGCTGAAACTTTGGAAACCAACACATCCTGCTGACTACTTGCTTCAGTAAAAAATTCAGACTTTTAGACATTCATCTCTGTTCATGAAAGAGCAGACAATACTGGGTTTTTATGAATACCCCATTTTGGAATGTGCCGATAATGCCTCTAACCGAGACTATGACTCTCCGTGTTATTGAACCTTGAAGTATCAGCTAGAAACTACAAAGCTGCGTGAGAATGAGCGTCAAATATCTATAGAAAGACTTGCGAGTTCCATTAAACAGGGAGCGTCAACAAAAATAGTCGATTGTCAGCTCACAATATATCCTAATCAGGCCAAAGCCGGATAAGAATTAGCATATATGGGGAAGGGACCAATGTGGACAAGAACCTATTTTGACTCTGTTCACTTTTTCTCAATATTATCTAAGTCAATCGTATATGAGTTAATAGAGAAGTGATTTGGTGAGTATTTCGATGTTAAGTTCCAAGCTATCTTTGCCACTTACAAACAGTATCGCACAGTGAGCAATTTTTTATTAGCATGTGAAAATTGGGCTTTCAAACATTTCAAGACGCTTAAAAATATTTTATGACAGGTTTTTGCCTGTGTCTTTTTTCTATGAAGTTGGTTTCAGAACGCAGAGGTACGTAAGAGTTGGGTTTCTAGAAACCTGTCATTTCTCAAGAGGCAAAACTCATGAGCATGACTCCTTTTGTGGTAAAATTACTTTTTTGGCATAGGAATAACAGTTTTTTCTTGTTAGAAGCCGTTCTCTGATAGACAAGGTGAATTTAAAATTTTTTTTTCGACTGTAAAACCTGTCTGGGTAGGAGCCTTGCTTCATTTTCTACCAAAACGCTTTTATTTGAAAAACTAGCCTATTATACATGTTTCAATGAAAACTTGTGCGATAATTCCAAATAGGCCGTTATTTTGCCCTAGGCTGGTTTCTGAGCGTAGAAAAATAAGGAAAGCTTCAAAAACCTTCATTTTTGGGAAAAGCTATAACTCATTCCAGATATGTTTGCACTATGAATTGAATAATGTTTTGCCAAAGTTTGAATCGGTTTAAAGTGAAGAGAAATTAAAGAGACTCATTATACTGAATAAAGCTATATTCCGGCATACTGCTTAATTTTTGTTTTTTTTTCTTTTTTGAATTTCTCCAGAAGGAAAAGCTGTACAATAAAAATGTTTACACCATCCGATAAAGAGCCTTCAAATCAGTACAGTTCACACTTTTCAACTCTTGAAAAATCTCATCGTAGGTTTTTTCGCATAATGTCAACGTTGTTGGCCACCATGCATCGCCCAAAAAGTATGCAAAATATGAAACTGAGATAAATGACACAGTTATATAAGGTTAGGCACGGTAAAGAAATAACTAGCAAACTGGAAACACTTGATAATTCATTCGATAGCTTTGATCCAAGGTAACGCTTTCACACGAAGGTCAACTTTTTGATACAGGATACCACTAGATAGCGAGACATATAATAGTTCATTTTCAATGTGTAATTAGAATATCGTCACATCTTATCTTAATTTTCTCCGAAAAAGCTGTAGGAAATCAGCGTCTGTTGCATGTCTTTGGATAGCTGTTTTCATGTGCTGTAAAGTCACTTTAAGATTACAACGAAAAAAGCTGGCCAATTTCAAAAATCTAAGGCCAAAAAACGATATAATAAGTCAAAGTTTGACGTATTCTTTTTCTGCATGCATAAACGTTCGCATGCAGTCCTATCCAATGTTGCTCTCTATGCTCCCAACTGGATGTGTGTATATGTTTACTTCTGATGAGAAAGACAGTAAAAATATGTATTGCTTATCTTTAAACTCATTCAGACGAGACAATTTCTCTGTCAATTATTGTTACGCTTTTCTTGTTTGTTCCTATTTGATCGGAAAAACCGGTATAATGACCATTCGAATATTGTCATTTGTAGACTATTGCTCAAGGTTACCAATGAGCTTTGTCTGAACAACTTGCATTCGGAATCAGGCAAATACAATAACACCGACGTGTATGCTTTTGACAAAATTGTACAGTTGTGTCAACTAAAGAGGAATAAGTTGCCAAGGAGTTTCATACTAACAGCGAATTGGAATCAAGAATCTTAGATGAATCACATAACGGAGCTCAGTTTCGGATACTGATACATATCTAATACAGTAACGATTCATAATAAAAAAAAAACTTTTTCCATTTTTCTACTATGTAGTCTTAATAAGCGGATAGCAGACCGCGAAAACCTATCATTGTTCCAAATAGCCATTCTGAAAAATTTATTTCACCTGAAACGGATCCGTGAAAAGCTACGATTAGCAGAAAATATGTTAACTGGAATCTGATTGGTTGACATGCAGACCAAGCACACATCTGATCCAGTTGGGATCAGGGGAGGAGGGGGGGGGGGGGCTATCAACGAATTCAATAGCTAAGATGAAGTTTTGTTGTAGAATCGACGAAGTTATGGCTAAAAAAAATATTTTTCTTTCTATCCGAACGAATGTACCGACGAACGAAGTTACGAACATATGAACCTTGCTCGGTGTATGACCTTCCTTTCAGTAGACAGAAAACGTGAAACTGAAAAACTCTAAAAAACTGATCACTGATTCCGCTTCCCCGACCCCGACTACCTTTGGTCAAACTTTATAAAAAATCGTTTTTTTCTTAAAAAAGTGATTCCTTGTCGCAAAAAAAGAAAGATTTAAATTTTCAAGAAACTGATCACGGATTCGGATTCCCGGACCCTGACTACCAATGGTCAATTTTTATGTAGAGTGTAGGCAATACGGTTCAAAACAACATTTTTGTCGTTTTACGCGAACGTACGTACGTACGAACGAACGAAGGTACGAACATACGAACCTTGCTCGGTATATGACCCTCCTTTCAGTAGAGGGAAAAAAGCCACTAACATCTGCATATGTAACGACAAGTAATGCTTGTTGGTGTGTCTCGCTTGATCCTCAGCTTTATATTCAGTCCATTGATGTTTTATACTCTTATATAGTCTTCAAAATAGCTAGCATCTAACGTGTCAAAAGAATGGATGGGTGTGTGTGTGCGCTGATACTTTTGTCAATCTCATTATGTACAATGGCTTGAAGATTCAAATAAAAATTTTTGTCACAAATACATCTAATTAAATCGATACTCAACAAAACTCTAAAGAGCTATACTATAGTGATGATATCCACATTCATCCTATGATACGTATATAAGATTATATTTGAACATATTGAAAATGATCATTATTATGAATTCTATATAATCGATATGTATTATTTATATTAGAATTAAACATAGGGTGTGGGTGTGTTTTTGCGTATGGATAAAGAGAAGTTAACACCGCAGCCATCTCACACCCACACCCTACACCTTCATCTACACCCACCTCACACCCCACCAATTAAATTTCCACATTAATGAATTTCTTCTGCCTTCATGTTGGCGTCCGCATTTTCTCTTGAATGGTTGTACTGCTTTAAAACGTTACTAGAAAAATAATTCATGACAAACAAGCTGACGTAGGTTGAAATGAGAAAAGAGAACAAAGAAAAATCACGAAACTATAGAAGAAAATGCTTTAATCGACACTATGCAGTGTTCGTTCGTATAGTATTTGTTTTTTTCGTCACAGTGCGCATGTAAGTCGGTAGTGACGGCAACGCCTACTGTATAGAAGCAAAACAGAGAAATACGTAAAGCTTCCATTCCCTTAATGTTATTTTGTCATTTATTTGCACAACTTGTTGTTTTTAAAGCACATTTGTTGCAGCAGAACACAATATTCAAATTTACATCGAATTTCAAACGAGACGCACAAATATACCTATGGCTACCGCTCTCAGTATTAATTATCGTCTTTTAGAAAGCGTTAGTGGGGAATCAAAACAGATGCTACTCCCAATATCCGGCTATCAGAATGTAACTGTAACATCACTTGATGATGCTTGTCAACCAATAAAAGATTTATTCGATCAAAAGTTAAAGGACTATATTACCATAGCCAAAATGAATTCAACACAGCCCAAAGATGGGCTCAGTCCTGATGAGTCGGCTTCGATTCATCTATACACTACAGAATGGAATATCCATGAGAATAGTTTATACATGGCGTTGAATCGAACTCTTCTACTAGCGGATCGCACAAAGCTTCACCCGTGGTTCAAGTTTTTAAAGCTGTTCCTAACAGCTTTCTTCAAACTACCGTGAGTGAAAAATATGCATCATCATATCTTATGTTTTTTCATCCGTATTAGACCAAGCGAACACACACTTGTGTGGTGTGGCGTTCGCGAAGACCTCAGTGATCTTTATCCAAAAGACAAGGAATTCGCTTGGTGGACATTCAGCTCTTGCACCGCTTCGATGAGCGTTCTTGAAGCTCCAAATTATTTGGGAAAAACAGGCACAGGAACAATATTTTCTATTCAAACCAGCAGTGGAAAAGATATACGTGCACATTCATATTTTGACAATGAAGATGAAATTCTCCTTCCACCCGGTATTTATCTCAAAGTAATTGACAACGTAAGTCGACCTGATGGCCTGCACAGAATTTATCTCCGAGAAATTTCACCACCATTTAAAATGCTTGACAATCCTTTTGATCGCAGCCAATTAAACACGACGCTGTCACCATCCAAACCATTCTTAAACATATTCAAAGCTCTAACAGAGCAAGAAAACTATGCATCAACAAGTGTCACACCAGAACCACCCGTGCAAGCATCTTCAAAACAAGGCAAGTTGAATAGCATGATTTTTACAGTTGTGACTTTCGCAATGGACTTTCAGCAATCGCCAAAAGTTGTGTTTTTGTTGGATTTTCGCTCAATACCAAACTGTAATTCGGCAACATGTAATTTGACGGTGCCCTCAATGCAGGTGGCTTCCAATGCAGATGGCCTGCAATGCACATGGCTTGCATTGCAAGTGACCTGCACTGCAAGCCACCTGCATTACAGGCAACATTAAATTATATGTTGCCGATAGTTCAATGATTAGCAAATAAATTAATTACTACTGATTAAAGCTATGCTTTTATTGTATTTTCGTTATTTACAAAACTGGTCTATTAGCTATTGCCGAAATTACAGTTCGGTATTGGGCAAAAATTCAACGAAAACACAGCCTTCGGCGATTGCCAGAAGTCCACTGCGAAAGTCAGGACTGCGAAATTCGCATTTCCTAGTAAGGGTATATAAAATGACCTGGGTCTCAGTCTTAGTCCTTCAGTCGGTGGGACCATAATCAATAATTTTTCAGCTTAGTTCCAATAGTTTTTTCTTAAACAATTAGGCAATATAGTTTGTTTTATATTATTATTTTATGAGTCGGGATTTGCAAATTGGTTATTTTTATTTACGATAAATACTGTTCTTTAAAATCTGCTTCTCATTTCAAGAGTATGAACTATGCGAAAAATTACATAGGTTTTCCATTTGATGAAACACAATAAACAGAAGTTTGATTCAATAGCAAATAAATTTTTTCTTCAATTGCAATTTCTTTTGTGTTATTCTTTGCTATTTTCAGTATGAACTTTTTAGTTCTGCTGTTCTATTTGTTTATATTGGAAGAAAGTTTGAAATTCGTGCGAATTGAGAGCCGAACAAAGTATTGGAAGCACTTATACTCGAGGATTTTGCACTGGTAAACGCATTTAAATTTTCTAAAGGACAAGACTAAATGAGGTCGTTTTCCCGATCCTGGGATATTTTAATTGTTTGTATTAAAATTAATTTAGTGGCGACTGCCAATAACTATTCGACGGCTTATTTTGGAACATGTCTCGACCAATCTTTCGAGTCACTTCGGTGGTCCTCTATATAAAGGAACAAATTTTCTTGTCCCTATAGAGGATTACAAGTGGTATCCGCCAGGTCTAAAATCCCTTGTTTACAATGTTCGAATCTGACCAGATAGGACTCACCGCAAAAGCAAATTCAGTAGTGGTTTGAATATCATTAGATCACTATTAGAATTCACTAGGTATCTTATGACATCGAAGCGACTGCCAGATTCTGATAAAAGAACCTCGTTGGCATTAAGTATATGGTTTAGACTCGAGACCAAAGATTTTGAATTCGACGAATATGACTCAAAAACTTGATTGAGAGGTGATGGAAATTAAACCTTTGCAACTTTACTGGGTGCTGTCACTGGAATAGTTTTGACGTAAAAGCGAACATATTTTGAGAGCAGAAAAACGGTTTCATCCGTTCGCGTTCTGCTAGAAAGAACATGTTACAATACAATGAGGTCAGGCACTTATTTCTCTTCTTTGAAGATGAACTAAATAACAAATTTCTTCTACCCCTCAAACACAGATAAAAATGCACCTATATATACTCGATAATTGTGTGGGAACAGTCTTGAACACGTATTTCTAAGTGATCGTACTGAAAATTCTGATTTTCTAGTGGAATTTTCGCTACACTTGCATTTGAGAAGTTCTTTATTAGCCCACCTCTGTCGAAATTGAAGAAAGATGTAAACGTTCAGTCGTAGTGTCGGACAAAACTTGTCTTGCGTCTATCTTTGATAAAAGCACTCATAATCCTGCAGATCCTTAGTATGTGATATCGAAATGAACTCTTGAAGTGACATCAATTCAAGGTCAGCTATACATATCTTTTTTCTATTGCAGAGAAGGAATTGACTAGCTTTCCCGCTGGCTGATAGAAGATAAAGGAGAGTTCGGATTCTTCTTTTTCTAGATTGTCTCTTTTGATGGGAGATGATCATCACTAGTTCTGCTGATGAATACTGCTATCACACGTTCTCTCTTCTGTTAATTTACACAATCCTGCATCTTTAATGAATATATTAGCACTTATTCTTTTTTTTATGAGTCATTATACAAAATGAAATTGTTTGTTTAGAAAAGCCCAACTTCTCCGAATCAAAAACTAAATCGCCATACTCTAACAAGAAACTTGATTGCAACGGACGTGCTTGTGTCGAATGTGGCCACTGTCGCGATTGGTACTGGCGTCCTAATGGTGATGACAAAGATTATACAAAGCGTGATGATGCAACTTGTACTTCTGATGGTTATGATCGTGGTTTTCGTATTCCTTTCCGTAATGGTCGTTTTTGTTTTGATGATGATGATGATGATGATGCTGATGATGATGATCGTCGTCGTAATTATTATCATTTTGTTTATTCTATTTCTTACATTGGTGGTATTGATGTTATTGATAATCGTCTATGTCAATGTGACGATAATCGCTCTTAATCCTGCAACTTTAGTTTTGAGCGAGTTTGACTAATTTGCTTATCATTGATAGTTGTCTATCTAACTAAAGTAAATAAAAATTAACTTTTCAGAATTTTCAAGGAGTTTGTTCATCTCGTTACTTGGGATTCATTTTTATGGGGTGTGGTATGGGTGTGGGTGTGTGGGTGTGGGTGTGGGTGTGGGTTGAGTGTGGGTATGGGTTTTTCACTAAACAGACGCCCACACATACACCCACACCCACACCCTTTATCAAAATTTAAAGTAACTCTCATCTTCTTTCAACAATCATCAATCAGATAAACTTTGGACATTTAGAATATGTACCACTGATCGAAAATCGGTTGCATATTTTAACCACTTTCGATCATTTTCTTTTTATGTAGGGAAAACGCAAAAAATGTTTGAAAATCTTTTCAAGTCTATGTTTTACATATTCAATTATTACAAGAAAAGACAAAACAGATACATTTCATAATACAGTAAGATATGTCCTATAGTATTATTTTATTAGCTTTTAAAAATATTTAACTTCTTCTTAAGTCACTCTAGTTGACCATTAGCTAGACAAGTTCTCTTGCAACTCAGATTTTTTTATCTGACTCATCGAGATTATGATCAAAACAAATGTTTTCTTTAATATATTCAAATACAAGAAGCTTAACTGTTGAACATATTAATAAAGGTTAATATGAAGATACAAAGTGTAAATATAAAGTCTGAGTCTTTTTCATACCAGAGATGTCCATCGCGGCGCTGCAGCTGCCGCCGTGGCGGTGGCGGCACGGCAGCGGCAGATTTTTTCCAAAACTATCGCGGCGCGGCAGCGGCGCGGGAGAGATTTTTATTTTGCCGTCGCGGCAGCTTTTTAGAAAAAAATTTCAAAAATTCATGAATTTGCACAGAATCTGCATGTTTATGTATGCTATACTGTAAGACTTAGCGAATCTGATCGATTAGCGGCATCAGTTCTATCTCAAACCAGTCAAAGCCTTGAAAATCAAAACATTTTTTCGAATACCACCGCGGCAGCGGCAAGTTTTTTTTAAGGCGCGTCGCGGTAGCTTTTCTAACAGGCCATCGCGTCGCGGGAGCGGCGCGTCAGCTTTGTTTGATTTTGGCCGCGGCGCGGCAGCGGCAGATTTTGAGCCGCGATGGA